TGGGAATAATCTGGATGTGGGAATGCCTTCCCAGAGGTTTGTGGCATTAGGTGTAGGCTATCTCAGAATGGAAGGTTTCCTTCTGGTGGAGGTGGCATTGGAAGCGCCCGTTGTCTTGGGCTCCKGTCTCCTGGTGAACCTGAAGGTCACTGTGCTTTATAAATTATATTCCAATCACGTTTTCCCATGGATTTTAAAACACTTTTAATTTTTAAAAATTTTTATAGAAATACCCAAATTTACACTGCTCCAGTGAGAAAAGCAGCAATGTCCCCTTTCAGGGAAAGCGCGGTGTCTTTGGGAAATCCATTGAGTCAGTCCGTTCAGGATTTACTTTAAATATTTTTCTCCCACTCATTTTTCTCTGGTGATAGCAAAATAAATTTTTTGGAAGGAGCTTAGGGCTGGTTGTTTCTCCAGCAGGAGTTTTCAGTTTTTTTCAGTGCACCTCAGCACCTCCATCCCTCCTCACTGGTACCATTTGAACTCCAGCTATTTTTGGGTGGTTCTAATGTTACAGCCCAGGCTGTAAACAGGGCAGGACAGCAGCACCATCGGGTTCCAGCAGCATTTTAGGGAGGCTGTGGCTGCTGTGGCTTTGGCTGTAGGGTTTGTGACAGTGTCACATCAACAGTTCTGCTGTCCCTCAGGTTTGAGTTCCCCCAGCCTTCCCCAACCCCACTATGTCCCCAAAGCTGTGAAATCCCACCAGRGATGGGGACTCCAGCRCTTCCCTGGGCAGTCTGTTCYKCTGACARTGAKAAATGTTCCCCAAAATCCCAGCTGAACCTCCCCAGCACAACCTGAGCCCGTTTCCTCTTGTCCTGTGGCTTGGGAGAAGAGACCAACCCCTACTTGGTTGCAACCTCCCTTTTTTTGGTCAGAATAACCCTCTGCACATGGTGATTTGGGTTCCTGTGTCTCACTGACCCCTCTGTGACCTTCCATGACCCAGAATCAGTGCAGAGCTGTAATTCCATGACTTTACTTACAGGATCAGGATTGTTTTTGTTTTTTTTTTTTTTTTTTTTTTCCCGTTCCCTGCAGCTGCTCACCTCTCTCTGCCCTTTGCCCCGAGCAGGAACAGATTCCTTTTGCCGATCTGCTTTTGAGGGTTGAGGTTCTGATTCTTCAGTTTGAGAATATCTCAGGGATTGCCATTTCTTTTTCACACACGGACTGAAAATATCCCCAACCCTCCTGTCCTGGTCCTTCTGTCCAGATTTGTGCTCCTGCTGTGTGGTCCAGGGCCCTGCTGATTCTTTAAGCTGCTGCTTTGCTCAGTGCATTACCACCAGATGCCTTAAATAAATCAGCTTTCTGTGATTTTTGAGCTCGGTTTGTAATGGCTTTGCCCATTTTTGGGCTCTGAGTTCAGTTTTAGGCCCTTCCTGTGACCGGAGGGAATGTCCAGGGAAGGGGATGGAGATGGGGAAGGATCTGGAGTGGCTGAAGGAGCTGGAAAAGGGCTCAGCCTGGAGAAAGGGGGGATCAGGGGGAACTTTGTGGCTCTGCAAAACTCCCTGACAGGAGGAGGGGATTTGGGATCTTATCCCAGGGAACAGGGAACGGCCTCAGGCTGGGCCAGGGGAGCTTTAGATTGGATTTTAGGGTTAATTTCTCCATGGAAATGGTTTTCAGGCCTTGGCAGGGGCTGTCCAGGGAGGTTTGGAGTGCCCATCCCTGGAGATGTCCTGGGAATTCCTGGAGGTGGCACTGAGTGCTCAGGGCTGGGGACAAGGAGGGCATTGGGCACAGCTTGGATTCGATGGGCTGGGAGGGCTTTTCCACCCTAAATGGTTCTGGGGTTCTGTACTGCCATCCTTGTTTGCTCTGAGCTCCTGAGCTCAGTGTGTCATGAGCTCCTGAGGTCGGAGGAGATGTTGGGTCCCCTTCCCTTCCCTTCCCTTCCCTTCCCTTCCCTTCCCTTCCCTTCCCTTCCCTTCCCTTCCCTTCCCTTCCCAAACCTTCCCAAACCTTCCCAAACCTTCCCTTCCCTCTGGATCTTGGATTGGCATAAACGAGTCCCACCTTTGACCCTTTAACACGTTGGGTGAGTGATGCAGAATCCCAGAGCTGTGCCACCCTTGGAACCCATTCCCTCACCCAGATAACACTCCCAGGGTGCTGTGCCCTGTTGGGAAGGACAAATTTCCCCAAACTCTTTAACCTCACCTTCCCCTCGTGTCTCCTGGCGGAGCTGTCATTTCCTGTCACATCCCCCTCGCTCACCGCCCGCGCTTTCTGTCCCTCGTGCCAGTGACTCTTGATGGAAGAACACGGAGTGAGCCAGGCGGAGCACATGGCTACCATCGAGGCGCACGCAGTGGCCCAGCAGGTGCAGCAGGTGCACGTGGCCACCTACACGGAGCACGGCATGCTGAGCGCCGACGAGGACTCGCCCTCCTCGCCCGAGGACACGTCCTACGACGACTCCGACATCCTCAACTCCACGGCGGCCGACGAGGTCACGGCTCATCTGGCGGCTGCAGGTAAAGCCAGGGGGGATCCTCCACAGCTCCATCCCATCCTCGGGATGGCCCACATTCCTTCCAAGCTCTTCAATCCCCTGTCGTTTATGTGGGAAAGTCAACCAGCTCGATTTTTTGGGAGTGTCTTCCAAAAGTGTTTTTTTGGGATTTGTTGGGATTGTTTGGAAGTGTCTTCCTGGAACCCAAAAGTTCGGTTTTAGTTTGCGTTAAAGGATTAAATTGCATCTCTGCTACATGGAGATCTCCACAACTCCCGCTCCAGTTCCATCCTTGGGATGTCCCAAATTCTCCTCAGGTGCTTTAATCCCACGTCGTTTATGTGGGAAAGTCACCCAGCTCCATTTTTGGGATTGTCTTCATGGAACCCAAAAGCTCCGTTTTAGTTTGCATTAAAGGTTGAATTGCAGCTCTGCCACGTGGAGATCCTCCACAGCTCCATCCCATCCTCGGGATGTCCCAAATTCCCCCTGGGTGTTTCAATCCCACCTTGTTTCTTGTGGGAAAGTCACCCAGCTCGGGGATTTTTTGGGATTGTCTTCCTGGAACCCAAAAGCTCCATTTTAGTTTGCGTTAAAGGGTTAAATTGCAGATCTGCCATGTGGAGATCCTCCACAGCTCCATCCCATCCTCAGGGTGTCCCAAATTCCCCCCGGGTGCTTCAATCCCATGTCGTTTCTGTGGGAAAATCGCTCAGCTCAATATTTTGGGATTGTCTTCCTGGAACACGAAAGCTCAATTTTAGTTTGCATTAAAGGGTTGAATTGCAGCTCTGCCATATGGAGATCCTCCACAGCTCCGTCCCATCCTCGGGATGGCCCAAATTCCCCCCAGATGCTTCAGTCCCCCATCGTTTCTGTGGGAAAGTCACCCAGCTCGATTTTTTTGGGAATGTCTTCCTGGAACCCAAAAGCTCCGTTTTAGTTTGCTTTAAAAGGTTAAATTGCAGATCTGCCATGTGGAGATCCTCCACAGCTCCCCCTCCAGTTCCATCCTCGGGATGTCCCAAATTCCCTGTGGGTGCTTCAATCCCACCTCATTTCTGTGGGAAAGTCACCCAACTCGATTTTTTGGGAGTGTCTTCCGAAAATGTTTTTGGGATTTTTTCGGATTGTCTTCGAAAAGTGTTTTTTGGGATTTTTTGGGAGTCCTCCTGGAACCCAAAAGCTCCGTTTTAGTTTGCATTGAAGGGTTGAATTGCAGCTCTGCCACGTGGAGATCCACCACAGCTCCATCCCATCCTTGGGATGTCCCAAATTCCCCCCAGGCGTTTCAATCCCACTCGTTTCTCTGGGAAAGTCACCCAGCTCCATTTTTGGGATTGTCTTCGTGGAACCCAAAAGCTCAGTTTTAGTTTGTGTTAAAAGGTTAAATTGCATCTCTGCCACGTGGAGATCCTCCACAGCTCCATCCCATCCCATCCTCGGGATGTCCCAAATTACTCCCAAGCTCTTCAATCCCGCGTCGTTTCTGTAGGAAAGTCACTGAGATCGATTTTTTGGGATTGTCTTCCTGGAACCCAAAAGCTCCGTTTTAGTTTGCATTAAAGGTTGAATTGCAGCTCTGCCACGTGGAGATTCTCCACAGCACCATCCCATCCTCGGGATGTCCCAAATTACTCCCAAGCTCTTCCATCCCCTGTCATTTCTGTGGGAAAGTCACCCAGCTCCATTTTTTGGGATTGTCTTCATGGAACCCAAAAGCTCAGTTTTAGTTTGTGTTAAAGGGTTAAATTGCACCTCTGCTACGTGGAGATCCTCCACAAGTCCCGCTCCAGTTCCATCCTCGGGATGTCCCAAATTCCCCCCAGGCGCTTCAATCCTGCGTCGTTTCTGTAGGAAAGTCACCCAGCTCGATTTTTTGGGAATGTCTTCCATAAGTGTTTTTTGGGATTTTTTGGGATTGTCTTCCTGGAGCCCAAAAGCTCGGTTTTAGTTTGCGTTAAAGGGTTAAATTGGATCTCTACCACGCGGAGATCCTCCACAGCTCCATCCCATCCTCGGAATGTCCCAAATTCTCCTCAGGTGCTTCAATCCCACCTCGTTTCTGTGGGAAAGTCACCCAGCTCAATTTTTTGGAAGTGTCTTCTGAAAGTGTTTTTTGGGATTTTTTGGGAGTCCTCCTGGAACCCAAAAGCTCCATTTTAGTTTGCGTTAAAGGGTTAAATTGCAGCTCTGCCACGTGGAGATCCTCCACAGCTCCATCCCATCCTCAGTATGTCCCAAATTCCCCCCGGGTGTTTCTATCCCACCTCGTTTCTGTGGGAAAGTCACCCAGCTCAATTTTCTGGAAGTGTCTTCCAAAAGCGTTTTTGGGTTTTTTTGGAATTGTCTTCCAAAAGTTTTTTGGGATTTTTTTAGGATTGTCTTCCTGTAACCCAAAAGCTCGGTTTTAGTTTGCGTTAAACGGTTAAATTGCATCTCTGCCACGTGGAGATCCTCCACAGCTCCATCCCATCCTCAGGATGGCCCAAATTCTCCTCAGGTGCTTCAATCCCACCTCGTTTCTGTGGGAAAATCACCCAGCTCCATTTTTTGGGATTGTCTTCCAAAAGTATTTTTTGGGAGTGTCTTCCTGGAACCCAAAAGCTCAGTTTTAGTTTGCATTATAGGGTTGAATTGCAGCTCTGCCACGTGGAGATCCTCCACAGCTCCATCCCATCCTCAGTATGTCCCAAATTCTCCTCAGGTGCTTCAATCCCACCTCGTTTCTGTGGGAAAGTCACCCAGGTCGATTTTTTGGGATTGTCTTCCAAAAGTATTTTTTGGGAGTGTCTTCCTGGAACCCAAAAGCTCAGTTTTAGTTTGGTTTAAAGGGTTWAATTGCAGCTCTGCTGGTCTTTAAAGCGATTTTGTGATCACTGGAAGTGACTTTTTAGTGGATCCACAGTTCTGAAAAAT